GGATTGCCTTGTCCACAATCATGAACGACTTCAAAAGAGATTCTGCTAATTTTGAAAAACAGTCTCTTAAAGCCACTTCAAACATTCTGCACTGTGCAGACAAAAGAGCTGCAGAGTCACACAAGAAAAGCAATCTTTGTGTGATGGTAAACTAAAACACTTGTGTACAATGAGAAACAGAACCAGTCTAACAACTAACATGACCTTGCATCCCATAACCTTGTATAAAACATACACTCTAGCATACAAAAAAGCAATAGCCAACTAATGATTCCAAAGAATCTTCCAATAACTGCGTTTCACGTATAAAAAGCTAAAATAAAACTAAAAGGAGAGTAACAAAATACAGAAAGCTCCATTCACTTACAAAAAAAAAAAGTCACATACAATCACTTTTCTAGAAGACTTTCACAACGGCCTACAGAAAACACATACAAAAAGGAGACACATACATTCATTAGAGGTGCACCAAAATGGAAATTTTAAAACCGAAACAAAAACAGAAATAAAAAAGAAAAAATATGTCAGGCCGATACTGAAAATTGATTTTTTCAATATTTTATTTTTATTAAATATTTTTATTTTTTACTTTTAGGGGCTTCAGGGGAATATTATGGGTTTAAAAAGACCCCTGATATTTCCCTTTTAAAATAGAAAAAGAGATTGAGAACACAAAGTCCTCTCTTTTTCTGTGTCCCGTTATCAATGTACAATGTTTGTTTACTATAACTACAATTATGAATGAACAGGAGGTGATGTAGATCACTCCCATTCATTCATAATTGAGGCTATAGTTAACATACCATATCCTCAATTATGTACACAAACTCAGCGATCACTGACTGCTGAGTGTTTGTACCTTGCTCTTCTCTCCGACACGCTGTCACAGGAGGCTGATCGAGCGGTGTAGAGAGGAAAGCCCAGCTTCCTGTGACAGCGGCATCTCCGCCCACACACCGCTCTGCCGGACTGTGATAGGCGGCAGAGCGGTGTGGGAGGAGATGCCGGTCACTCACAGCGCTCTCCACCGCAGCGCTCGGCCGGCTGCAACTTTCTCTTCTCCCCGCTGGGACAGAGCAGCGCCCAGCGGGGAGGAAAGAAATCAGGGATGTCCTGATGTATCGGCAGGAAAATGACACTTTCGGCATTATGCCAAAAGTGCAATTTTCGGCCGATATGTTTCGGCGGCCGATATATTGGTCCATATACACACACACACACATACATATACATATACATATATATATGATAGATCTCTTATTTCTATATGAGGAAGAAAAAAAATCAGTTGCCATGGCGATCAGCATTTCTTTTGTTATTTAACTGACATTTTTACACACACATTTACGAACCCTCAGTGAAGTGTGTGCATATCAGTGTAACAGACCCAGTTCAAACCTGGTCACCATTGTCTTATTTTTAGTACACTACTAAAGAATAAACATTACAGATCCATATGCTCTCCCTCACAGATATGTAGCTGATGCAAAGTGTCCCCTTCGCACACATACATGGAAGTGATGTATAGTCTCCCCTGTGCGTGCGCACAAATACACTCTCACGGAATCAGTGCATAGTGTCCCCTGCGCACAAACACATGTAACTAATGCATAGGGCTTTGTATTAATTAATACAAAGCCTGCCGTGACTGGCTCAGCGAGCTACATACAGTATACCCGGCGTATAAGACGACCCCCGATTTTCGGGCAGTGTTTTTGTGTCTAAAAACCAGTCTTATACGCCGGCATATATACGGTACCTACATTGTCCTATACATTACATACTCCAGACCGCTGCACTTTTTACAGTATGCTGTACATTACATACTCGGAACTACTGTGTTATGCTTCATAAACAAGCCCAATGCACATCACATATTGCGTTTACACTAGATCACTGCAGTCCCTACATTCTGCCTTGTTTAATAGGCTGAACAAAAACATTTTCTATCCTGTACCATATATTGCATACACTAATGAGTGCAGTCTATATTAGAGGTGCTCCGAAATGAAAATGTCAAAACCCGTTAAAAAAAACACGAAATGGAAAAAAGGTCAGGCTGAAACCAAAATAGTTTTTTTCTTGTTAATTTTTTCCCCAATATTTTATTTTTATAAAAACTTTAATTTTTTATATTTTAATTAAATATATTTTTCTGACTTTACTGTTGGGGTCTTCGGGGAAATATTGGGTGTCTAAACAGATCCCTATTTCCCTTTTAAAATAGCAAAAGAGATTGAGTCCTCAAATTCTTTTTCTGCAGCCCCCCGTTATAAATGAACGTGAAGCCTCTATACTGAGTGTTCCTGTTCATTTATAACTTGTGGAGATTGTATGTTTACTATGTCCACAATCATGAACAAGCAGGAAGTGATGTAGATCACTTCGCATTCATTCACAATTGGGGACACAGTAAACATACTATGTCCTCAATTATTTACAAACACTCAGCAATCGCTGAGTGCTAGTACCCGCTAGTAATCCATCCTGATTCGCTGTCACAGAAGGCTGAGCAGGGAGGAAAGCTCAGCCTCCTGTGACAGCAATGGCACCTGTCTCCGCCCACACACTGCTGCTCTCCTAATCTGTCACAGGAGGCCGAGTGCTAGTAGCCGCTCTCCATCCTGACTCGGTGTCACAGGAGGCTGAGCAGGGAGGGAAGGAGAGCTCAGCCTCTTGTGACAGCAATGACACCTGTCTCCGCCCCTACACCTCTGCTCTCCTAATCTGTCACAAGAGGCCGAGTGGTGCGGGAGGAGAGATGCCGGCCGCTCACAGCGCTCTCCAACCCTGCACCGCTCGGCCACCTGTGAATTTCTCACCTCCCCACTGGGACATAGAGCAGCACCCAGCGGGGATGAGATAATGCATGGATTTTGCCAAAAGTGCCCTTTTCAGAGCCCCGAAATTTCGGTGCTAGTCTGCATGCATGGTTATACACTATATAACCGAAACTATACATACCATTCCCCAGACTGCTGAATGTGAAATTTGTTCCCACTTAAATGGTACACTTCTTACTTTTTTTCCCTAGCATTGTGGCAGTCAGTCTTTTTTTTTTTTTTTTTTTTTTTTTTTTTTTTTTTTTAGTAATATACCCCTACACCATTATTAATTTGATGTATATGTGAATAAGGGCCAAAATGAGGAAATATGGACAAATTTAAGTACAACTCACAAATGCCAGACAGCCACGTCACCGGAACTGGTCATTGTCCATTTCTAAACTGACAAGTCTTAAAAATTTCTACCATAAAAGCTACAACAGCTTCACGACATGTACCTTTCTGTAGTATTTTCACCTCTCCATTTTCCTTCTTGGCTTCATTCATTAGTTTATGTTTCTTTTTCTGCTTCTCTTTATCTCTAATCTTGACTTTTTCTTTTATTTCACCTAAAAAAAACAAAAAAAAACATTTAAAATTCAAAACTAACAGATGCCTGAAGAAATGTTTCCACAGAACACAGATCAAGACCATAAAAATCCCTACAACAGCTCATCATTGCTTACAAAAGTTTACAGTCATGACATTTAAAAAATAAATAAATATCTAGCATGTTACACACCATTATTAATTTGATGTATATGTGAATAAGGGCCAAAATGAGGAAATATGGACAAATTTAAGTACAACTCACAAATGCCAGACAGCCACGTCACCGGAACTGGTCATTGTCCATTTCTAAACTGACAAGTCTTAAAAATTTCTACCATAAAAGCTACAACAGCTTCACGACATGTACCTTTCTGTAGTATTTTCACCTCTCCATTTTCCTTCTTGGCTTCATTCATTAGTTTATGTTTCTTTTTCTGCTTCTCTTTATCTCTAATCTTGACTTTTTCTTTTATTTCACCTAAAAAAAACAAAAAAAAACATTTAAAATTCAAAACTAACAGATGCCTGAAGAAATGTTTCCACAGAACACAGATCAAGACCATAAAAATCCCTACAACAGCTCATCATTGCTTACAAAAGTTTACAGTCATGACATTTAAAAAATAAATAAATATCTAGCATGTTACAGGAGGAAGAATATTAGCAACATATGCTTACTTCTACAAATACAATTATTAAGCACAATTCTCCAAAATGTATATGCTATCCCACCTTATCTGTGTAATATATGCCTTAGGGAGTATTTCAATCATATGTATTGCAGGCATATGTTCCTTTACCCCTTCACGCCCACTGACTTACATAGTACGTCATTGGCAGCAGGCCCTTTTAAAAACAGACTTCCAGTGGCTGTTTACAATTGTAAAGCTGGCTGTCGGCTTAACAACAGAAGCCGTTCTGTCGGCTCAGCTGCTGTCAGATCGCTTTTACGGGCCAGTAATGTGCCCCCTTGTTAGAAGTTAGAAAAAAAAAAAAAAAAAAAAAAAGTTCTAAAAAAATAAAATGAATGTAAAAATAATTAATTAAAGTGTCCCCACGAGCACGTGCGTCTTCATGTAAACACGTGTCAGGTGCGCCTACATACGTAAATGACGATCGTGCTACACATGTTGGGTATCGCCGCACAGGGCAGAGTGAGAGCAATAATTCTAGGTATCTTTGCGTATCCCTAAACTAAATGACCTGTAGGGGCTTTTAAAGCTTCTATGGACTTTTTGGGGTACTGAATTTTGTTGGTTTCACGGACGCACACAATTTTTAACTGGGCATGTTGGGTATCTATTTACTCGCTGTAACCTCATCTTTTTATATTTAAAAAAAAACAAAAAAAACAAATAGGTATATTTAAAAAACATAGGTATTTTAATATGTTTTGGGGCACTAGATTTAACTTAAGTACAATTTTTACAAAATGTTGGGGTTTGATAAGCTGTGCTAATGTCATGCAACATAAAAATTTGCAACTGGCAAAATTTTCGTCTATAGGGTCTTGACTTTCAGAAAATATATAATGTTTGGGAGTTTGATGTAATTTTCAGGCCTAAAATGTGGATTATAACAGGAGTGCAAAAAACTAAAACAAAAACAAAAAAAAGACCCGACATCAAAAGGGTCCTTAAGGGATTAACAAGGACGTGAACTTCCATCACAAAACTGAGGAATGAACTCCCCAGTAGCCAAGAATCATTAGTTTGGTCAACAAAGCAACTGATTTATCCAGTTTTGGCAAACAATATTGTGAAAGTGGGAACATGCAAAGTGAAAAAAAAAATGGAAGGTCAATAATAGGACTTCATTAATAATTCTAAAAACACATATAATACTGCAATAATATGGACATTTCACCATGTCAAGGTGACAGTTTTATAGATAGGAAGTCCATTACATTTATTGCAGAAGTGAACAGTATGGAAGACATTGCAACATTTTCATAACACTTATTACTTCTCTAACTTGCTTCCACATAAAATTTACAACTAAAAGTACCGATGGGGCTAACATTGCCTTACATTTTTATTCTTGTAGAGGACTGCCTTTGCACTACTAAATTATCAGTCAACCACACTGGATCCATTGGTAAATTGGCTGAGCAGGCACAAGAAGCTACAATCTGCCCACGCTCTTAGGCCTGGTTCACACCTGTACGTTTTGTAGCGAGTTCAACGCTCCATGAATGCTCTACAAAACGCTCAAACATGAAAATCCCATTGTTTTCTATGGGTATGGTTCACACCTTGCCGTATTTCAGCCGTCTGAACGCGCTACAAAACGGAGCCTACGTCTGAAAAAAGGTACATGAGCTTCTTTGCGGCATTTTTGTTGCGCGTTTCCATTGGAATACAGCCAAGTAGCCCTCGGAAACGCGCGTTTGTCGCGCTTTTTACAGCGAATCGCGCTAAAAACGCACGTCACGAAACGCGCGGCAAACACGCATATTCGATACGCCTAGGTGTGAACAGAGCCTTAAAAGGTTGACATTTAAAATAGCTTTCTTTTGGGCCTTGTTCACACCAAGCGCGTTCCAGGAGCAGAGCAGTTACAAACTGGAACAAAACTGCGTTCAATGTATTCCAATGGTATTTTGGGCTCTAGTTCACACCGCAGCGCTCAGTCCCAGAGCATGTAAAAAACTGCAGTAAGCCCCATTTTACCTGCTCTGGACCGCATGCAAACACATCAAAAACCCATGCAAACGCACTGGAACGCACTGAAAGCTCATTTTAAAACTAAAAAAAGTTTGGTTTTTTTTTTTTGCAAAAACGGCCCTGAACGCGTAAAAAACACACTGCACTGCGTGTGCAGAGAAACCCATGCAGATCTGGTCTGCATTTGGTGTGAACAAGCCATTTAAACATATCACCAGCAGCGGTATATTTACAAGAACACTATAACCTAATTTCAAATTGCCATAATGCACATGACATTCCTTATTAAGTGTTATTTTGATTTTCCCCTACACTATATGACCATACACAAGGGGAAAAAATAAATTACCAACTAAAAAAGGCCAGGAAACAATGTTTCTGTTCTGCACCCTCTATCAAGACCCTCCATATGGTGTCTTGCAAGCTCATTAATCCTCTTTCCTTTGCCGGGGGTGGCGTCTGCCAGGCAGTTCAGGGATGACTGGTTTATCTTCAGGAGGTTGCTGGACAATGATGCACTATGCTTTCACCTTCTGTTTCTCAGCATCTCCTCTACTTAGGTTTTTTCCAATTATCCTATAGTCTACACACTGTCCTTATCTGGTCACAGCAACAGAGAGCCTAGGAGTGTGTCTTGTTCATTCCAGCAAGAGCGATAACTTATGGGCACTGGAATTCTACTGGTTATATCATCTCATGTTTCCAGAACTTGACCGGTGAAATAATGCACAGTTGGTACAACCTAACACTGATGAGACCCAAGAGGTAAGTAGCCTCAAGGAAAGTGGTCAATGTTATAAATATGAACTATTAGAGCTTTCTTTTTCAGCAGAACTGAGATCTACAATATGTCTGTAAAGGTTCTCATTCATCCAGGTCATGGTAGATCTGTATTTTTCTTGAAGACGTTTCACTGGACATCCGATCAGCTTTCTTATTTAGAATGAAATGTACAAAAAATGATCTGGGAATAAATATGGTGAATGTCCCTCCAATCCACATAATCTGTCACAACCAGGTGTTGAATGCATTTGCATAAATGAGATCTACAATGCTTTGTCTCAGCATGGACTTTGGCATATACGCATTACGCCTAAAAACTGGAGCTGTAAGAGACCCATTAAGGAGGAGAACTCCAGCTCCCTTCTGACTATTCCCCCAACTTTGGTTCCTTGTGAAATTTAAATTCTAAATACAGTATTATATTCTATACAAGTAATCCGGTTATCCACAAAGACAGCTTACTTAAGGAAGCCATACATGACCATCATTTTATCCATCAGCACCATCTGCCTCAACATTATTATTATTACATAGTATTTATATAGCGCCAACAGTTACCGCAGCGCTTTACAATATAAGGAAGACATAACAGTTACAATACAATTCAAGACAAGACAAGATGGTAAGGAGGGCCCTGCCCCTGAGGGCTTACAATCTAAAATAGGAGGGGGAAATGATACATGAGGTAGCTGTGGGAATGAATTATGTGAGAATGTGAAGGTTCAGTGGTTAGGTTGAGGTGGGATATGGATTGATTCAAAAATCTACTGGGTAGGGTAAAAAAAAAAAAAGATCAGCCAAAACAGTGACTGTATGTTATCAAATGCAGTCACTGTTCGAGTATTCAGGCACCATCGCGGTCACAGCTGCCTAAATACAATAGTCAGCAGCAGAGATTCATCCATTTATGCTGTTTAACGTTGATGGTGGAATGGAGTCATTTTCTGCCCTTCAGACCTCAGGCTGAAAAAAAGAGAAATCCAAGGGTGTATGGCTAGAACAAAATCCTGCCTACCCATAGAAGGGGAGCTCCTATTCCATTCCCATCTAGATGAGATCTTGGATAAAACAATGAATGAAGACGGATTCTTCACAAGAGGGGGGAGGACCATTTCTTCTCAGCCTTCAAGGAGTGAATCAAAATTTCTGAAACTGAACTTCAAGATGCAGTTTAAAAAAGGGTGAAAAAAGCGTTACTCTGCAAGCAATAAAAAAATCAAAGCAACATCCTCGCCACCAAAGAAATGACTGATCACTTCCTGTCCAGTATAGCAATTGATCATTTCTAGAAACATGTAATTCATAGGTACGTCAGGATTTCAAAGAAGGTTACAAAATCAGAAAGAAGTTCCTTCCCATAGCACAGTCTGTGGTTTATGCCTTTAATTAGAACGTGCTCATCTAAGTCCAGTCGATGATCCAAGAAAGATCTGTATTCTGTAATCTCAATGCAGCTGCATTAGACGTGATGATGTCACGGGTCTTTAGAGAGCTGGAGCCTGGGGTAGAAAAGGCTGCAGGGACCGGTCTAGCAAACAGACAAGTATATTTTCTTTATTTCAGCCCCAGACTACAACGAGCACTTAACCCTTGAGGTGTGGGGGGGGGTAGCCCCACTGCAAGGTTTCATTTTCAGATTGCCTGGAGCTGGTGTGTAAAACGGTCTGCAGGAACACCTGCACTGGAAAATGACAGCTGTAGAATGAACGTTTCTAACCGACTCACTACTACGTCTAATGCAAGCCTTATATGCTTTCATAAGGAGCACCCACCTCACTACTTGTAAAAACTGCCAGACGATTCGGACCAGTTACCATAACAACCAACCATTTGATGACATCTATATTGTGTGTCTAGTATAAGCTGCTGAATTACAATGGCTTGTGTACTATGTCGATTATTTGGACAGCCATGTTTACATTTGAGAATGGGATCTGTGAGGCTTGAAATGTGGCAGTTGAAAATGATCTCATCACTTACTATATTTAGCACACAGCGGTTTCACGGAAAACAGAGTTTAAAGATTAAT